CTCTGCCCCAAAATGTGAGCCTTTTATGAACATAAAATGCTACATTTTGGTTTTAAAGCGGTAAAGATTTTGGGGGCTCTTTGGCTAGGGTTTGGAGGGAGATTTCTGTCAGTGGTGCTTGCCTTAGTGACTTTTTTGAATGTCTGTGGCTACCAAGCCCTTCAGCCTCTGTCTTGCCTTCACCTGTTTTAAAGTATGTCTTGTTTCTTCCAACAACTTGCAGGTCACTCTTCCAAAATGCCAGAGGAAAGTTCGCCAAAGCGGAGTCCTCAAAACATCCCGTACAAGGACCTGCCCCACATTGTCAATGCTGATGGGCAGTATCTCTTCTGCAGGTATTGGAAGCCAGCAGCAACTCCCAGGTGAGTTTTTTTTTTCACGATCACTAAATAAGACACTATTTGTATAGTTATTATTTGTAGCTTGACTGGCATTACAGGACTGCGTGCATGGAGCTTTACAGAGCCACTAAGAGATTTCTATCATCTGAGAGAGCCCTCACTGTAAAGACTCTGTTCTCCAAACCTTTACTCACTCAAGTCAGCCTTACAGATGTAAAACCTGGAGTTACTGTCATTTCATGCACAGCTGGCTTGGTTGGCAGTTCAGTACGCTACCGAGGGGCACATGCAGGTGACTGATGCCCGTCAGCAATAAACAACTATCTTCAAACTAACAGCACAGGCAATCAGGGAGGGATGGGATACAGGCTTAGGGATGTCTACTCTTTCTGATTTTCTCAGTATCAACAAATTAAACATCAGCATCTGACTTCAGTTTCAACAGTAGCAGCCGAAATCTCAGGGCAACGGGCAGAATATGGTTTGCGTTGCTTTTTGACTGTTGTTTGTTTTTCGTTTTGTTTTTGGTTTTTTAATTATTTATAGTCAGTAAATGATTTAGGGAGCTCTTTCACTGGCAGCTGCGATTTCAAAACTGACCTCAGTAATAAACAGAGACAAGGAACCAGATAGAGAAATTTCTCTAATGTTTTTATCTTAATTTAAATAATCCCTTTACTCTAATAGGATTCTATGCTGATTGTGTGCTGATTATGATCTGCTATAAAAAAATATCTCTGTTCCTCCCGTAGTTATGATCTTTCTTCTTTCTCTCAGTATCTGCTGGCTTGGCATGTATTTATGCTACCGCTAGTTATATAGGTAGCTACTTCATAAAAATCTGGATACTGTTTTATTGTTTTCTTTTTCTGCAAGCCAACAGGAAAAGCTGTGTTGATTTTATACAGCTAGAAAACAGTCACAGGAAGAAGTTTCTCAAGCTGTAGTAGGGAGTTTAACTTTTTTCTTGACCACCCAACAGGTTAGCCATCATCCTGTGTCCAAATCAGCCTGCAACTGCACTGAGAGATGGATACGGGTGCAAGCTAGCTGGCCTTGGGTTTTATGCCTGCCAGACTAAGGGGCAATGGGAATAACATACTGCTGGGAGGTGGGCAGGCATCAAAGTACACTGTCCCCAGAGGGGAGGAGAGTGCAGCCACCCTACTGTAGCTCCATTGCACTGGTTGGGCTGTAGGACATGGGTCTTGGTTTAAGATCACCTGGACCACAGAGCGTTTTATAGTTGCTTCTGCTCACTGCCTTTCAGAAAAAAGGAGGAAAGTTTTTGGCACTGATGCTTTACATAGTCTTTGCGCCAACCTGAAGATTTCCTCTACAGGGGAAAAAAAAAAAAAAGCTATCAAAATAAACTTCTACTGTGAAACCAGGCTGTCTTGTATTATAATGCTAATTAATCATTAACTGCCCACAACCTTCTTCACCCACTTGTGGCATTACTTTCTTTTTTCATGTTTAATTTCTTAGCAAATTAGTAGTGAGTGGATGCATCTTTGATCCAGAAATGAAAGGATGATAAAGAGCTGAGAGTTAAAACTTGTTGTCTAAGTCCTCTGGGTAGTTAATTTTTTTTAGGACTCTGTGCACCAAGCAGTTAATTGAGAGCGAGCTTGCCCTAGTTTTGTGACAACAAAAGTGGATGGGATCAGTGTTGCTCATTTACAAGTGGTTCCTAAGTGCGTGCGTATGTGTGTTTGCATTTGCGTGTTTGTGTATAAGGAGGGGGCGTACCGTATATTATTAGCTCTTTTTGCATTGTTATGTATGAGAGAGATGGTAAGTGACTGAATAATAAGTTAGTGCCTGCATCCTACAGTCAAGAATGCTCCAGAAGTGCTTTGATAGGCAAACCAAAAATACATTTATTTTTTTTTCCCCTCTCACTTTTCTTAAGCAGCTTGGCTTTTTCTGTTTCATATGTAGAAGCTCAACAACTTTCATCTAATTTTAAATGTTCAGCAAAAGTGATCTATATATATATGTATAGGGAGAGAAAGAGACACCTCAGGGGACTTTTACAGGCCTGTAACATTTTTCTCTGTTTCAAATACTGAAGGCGATTCTTTCAATCTTCTAACTCAGTTGTTGATTCAGGTTCAAATCTTAACGCTAATGAATGACGCTATAACAGTCAAACGGTGGGACCTTTCATTGATCCATTATGCATTTAATCCCAGCTAGGGCTATAGAAATACCTCTTCACTGCAGATGCCCAAAGGTTATCATTGACTTGTCTTCTATTAGAATAGAACTTATCATCCTTGATCCCTCCTCCAGGGAAGGGAAAAAACGGGATGTCTGCCAAAGGAAAAATTAAAAAGTAGCCCTAGCCTGGGGTTGAAGAGCAAACAATGGCTAGGCAGTCTCAGAGAGTGGGACCGACTGACAGACATCGTCCCTCAGAGCTGGTGCTTCTCTTCTATCTCCTCAAACAGACCCGCAATGGTGGATAAAGGCTGTGGAGACTCATGTGCTGTAGCATTTTTTTTAAAAAAAACAATACGATTTGTCAGGAAGATGGGGAAATTTTTTGAGGCTCTTTCGCTTCGTGCTCACAGATATCCCTGCTCTGATCCTGTGTGGTGTTGATCTGACTGATCAACCCATACTGGTGCACATATGGAAGCTTTGTTCTAAGAGCCACCGAGGCCAAGGTTGTCCTGCGAGTGAAAGGCACCTATTGTGAGTCCCTCAGCAGGGTCCGCTTTGTTTCGAAGGGGGATTTAGGTGATTACTTCACAGGAAGCTGACACACAAAGGCACTCAGATGTCATAATGATTAGATGGGGTAGATGGAGTAGGTAGTATGGGACTAAGGAAGGAGGGCACAGTGTTTTGCACTTGTTTTTCGGGTGGGAAGTCACTTCCAACAGCAGAGCTGGGGACTGGGTGTCTTCTTCTATTGCTGTCTACTGGCAGCAATGCAGGCGCAACTTCCCCAGCCAGCAGTCCTGCAAACTACCCAACTTGTTGAACCAGTTTCATCTTAAAATGGAATTAAGTGGGCTTGTTGAATGCAGCAGGGACGAAAAAGCAGTATGTTCTGTTGTCATTTTCATGTATTTGTGGGGCATGAAAACGGGTAACTCTTTGGCACTGAGTGGAAAGCTTAAGATCTGGGCAAGGCAGGGCATTTTCAGGCTCATTTAATGTTGTTTGGAGGGAGCAAATCGTTGGTACCAAATCAGACTGATCTCATGCCTATAGCATGTCCTAGTAGCCAAGGAAATCCTACTTAATGGGAAAGCAGTCTTTGTGTAAACAAAAACAATGTCTCCATGCAAGGTTAAAACCACTACCACCACCCTGAATGGCCTAAGTCAAAATATAAGGTAACAGGAGGTGAGGAATTAAGAAACCATGCTCTGTTCCCAGCTCTCAGACAAATCTGCTAAGAATAGGAGTGGGATGAGGAAGGGGAAGGAAAGTTGGGAGGAGAAGTCAAGATGTTTCCTTTGAGGCCCCTAAAGGGCCTGGAGAGGTTCAGAGATGACCTTCTTTTCCTCTCTGTTCTGTATCCCCATAGCCTTTTCTGGACAGCTGTTGCTGTCACTGCCTAGATGAGCACAAACAGTTTGTCCTGGGGCACTTTCAGCCCCTCTGCTTGACCTCAAATAAACCGTGTGAGATTTATTGACCCAGAGTAGTTTTTTCAAAGGTGCTGATAGCCTGCAGCCACCATTGACTTAGGATAGAGAAAGGGATGCTCAGCTCTCTCCCTGTAGATCCGCCAGTCTAGGGCTGGTCACTTGAAGCTTGAGACACTTGTAGTTAGAGGATGCTTTTGAAAATGTGGGTTCCAGACATCCTTGTATCTGAGCTTCCTCATCTATCAAACAGAAATCATTATCTGGCTAGTTAGCATGGTGCTTGTGTGTCTCTCCACGTAGTGGTCTCTCGGTGCACTTAGATGATTTTCAGCAACTGAAGTGGTCTGCCTGAGGAGGCTGCCTGAAGCTGAGACATGTGTGGGTCACAGATGTGTTCCTGGTCGATTGTTAATGTATGCTAAAATGGGTTGGCTCAACTTTAGACATCGTGACCATGGCTTAAGTGAGCAGAGTTGCAATTGTCTGAAGTAAACAATGTCTTTGAGTGCTACACCTGACAAATGTGATTAAAAATACAAAATTAAACAAACAAAAAGCACTTGCTTTTCTGTTTACTTTTTGTTTGTTTGTTTTACTCTTTGAAAAATGCCTGTCATTCGTTCTGACTTGTTAGCAATGAAAGGCCAAGCCAATAAGGAGAAAATATATTTCTCTCTTCCCCAAGGGCATTGCAGAAGTGCCTGTGGTGCAGAAATACAAACTGCCTTTATATTTGAACTGGCCCTTAAATTGTGAATATTCCTCGCTGATTTTGGCACCTCATTACCAGCATTTTCATGGCACTTCCAGAAGAACAGCACAGCTCCCAGCATGAGCAGATGACAAAGTGGAATTTGACTTTCAGACCCTTCCAAAATGAATAAATAAATAAATAAACCAAAGTGAAGTCAAAGCAAAGGGAATCAAGTCACTAATTAGAATGTCTTTAATTATACTGTGTGGTGTTAGTCTCTAGAAATACTCAAAGGAATTTCTAATTCAGTGTCACTCTGAAGAGTGACTTTTGTTTGTGCCAGTGAGGTCAACTTCAAACTAACACACAAGGCTGAATTTGTATGGTGTGAAGTAACTTATGTCAGCACCGTTTGTCGTAGGATGAATTCAGCTCCCTCTGTGTCTGATCACATTGTACACAGTGCAAAGGGGAAATAACAATTATCATTGTCGAATCAACATTCCAGGCTTTGCTTGCTGTATTGCTATTGCCTGAGTTTCTAAAGCCTCCCTTCTATTCATCAGCCGTGTATGTGTTCTTGTAATGCCTATGTTCTCTTTGCTCCATGTGACAGTCTTATTCACTGTGAATGGGAGCATCCTTTTGTGATTTCTTATGCATTACCAGTGGATGAGCAAATTAGCAAACCACCTTCACATAAGAGGGACTCTGAC